TGGAAGCTGTTTGTCAGCGCATTCATAAGCCGAATTTGTGTGTCCAGAAAGATAGTGTTATTACCCTAAAATTGTTCAAATAATGTTCTTTTGTGTAGTGTGGCAACGTTGTTGCCACTTGTGCCTAAATGTGTTTTGTCACCTTCTTGTTTATTATTGTTATTATTATCATTCGTTCTCACTTTTTTGTTTTTGTTGCTGATACACACTTGTCACGCTTAGTTCTTACTTGTATACCCTTGTGTTCTACACACTTTTGTGAGAAATCGCACCTCGATATTCCAGTGCTGTCATTGTATCGTGTCACCCTACCTTGATTGCTATATTATTTCCTTTGTTCTCATTTTGTTCTTTAGTACAACGGTGATTCCTGAAGAGTGTTGTACGAAAACTTGTTCGAATCATCTTTTTTTCCATTGCCCTTTTTCTTCTTACATGTATTTTCTTTACCCTTTAGATTGTTTCTTGCATCGTCTCCATCGCTTCACCTCGTGAACACCAAATAGCAGCGTGAGTCAGTGTCGCTCCTGGGGTTACAAATCATCGCCGAAGTCGCAACCACTACTTCGTAATAATAATAATGATAATAATAAAGGGTTTGCTCCCTACACCGGAGCTCGCGCTATTCCGCCGACTTTACTTGACACTTGACACGTGAGTCAGTCAAGTGTCAAGTAAAGTCGGCGGAATAGCGCGAGCTCCGGTGTGGGGAGCAAACCCTTTCTTACAAATCATCGCCGAAGTCGCAACCACTACTTCGTACTGTTGTGCCCAGCGCGGGCTTGCGACTAGTTGGTTTGGAGGTGACAGCGTTGCGAATGACCGAGGGTCCTCAACGTCTGGTCTCACTGTCCAGGAGCGACACTGACTCACGCTGCTATCTGGTGTTAACGAGGTGTTTGTCGCGCTGGAAATGGAGCGTCTCTGTAAGTTTGTATCCCTGGTGATGTTTGTGCCTGGAGAGCACTATATAAGTGGTGCTCTTCAGCCACAATCTTCCTCAGCCTACTCAAGCTCAACTGATGAGGGGTGAATTCCCCGAAACACTGTGTATTGAGCAGGAAGTGGTGCTTTCTTGCAGGTTTGCCGAGTCGAAGGTTCGATGGACTTCTCGTGTGCCCTGGATGGCAGTCGTGAGTCAGTCAAGTGTCAAGTAAAGTCGGCGGAATAGCGCGAGCTCCGGTGTGGGGAGCAAACCCTTTCTTACAAATCATCGCCGAAGTCGCAACCACTACTTAATAATAATAATAATAATAATTCAAAGGATCAGTCGGGGAAGTGTTTATTTTTTACATATTGTTTATTTTATTTTATTCGTGTTCGATATTGAATTTTAATTTTAATTTATTTATTTTTTACAAATATTGTTTTTATTCCATTTCACATTTTTCATTCGTGTTGGGTTTAACTACTCACTGTACTGATACATGGTGATGATTGTGCTTTGCTTTGCCCGTAAAAGAGGCCTTCCCTATCAGTCGGGGAAGTGAACTGCCTGAAAAGAGAAAAAACGCCAGACCCACCAGGACTCGAACCTGGGACCCTGCTTGTCATGAGCAGTGCTCTAACCACTGAGCTATGGGACCAGGCTGAACCTAGAAGGCGCTGACAAGTTTTTCACTGCAAAGGCAGCTCACAACACGTGCCACACATACTGATGGCACTTGGGTCTTTTTCCCTCCCCCAGGGGACCAACCACGGTCAGTTTCTGGAAACTACCAGAGGTGAAAGAAAGTGATTAATTTTGGAAAGGATGGGAGAACTTCAAATTCAAAGGATCAGTCGGGGAAGTGAACTGCCTGAAAAGAGAAAAAAACGCCAGACCCACCAGGACTCGAACCTGGGACCCTGCTTGTCATGAGCAATGCTCTAACCACTGAGCTATGGGACCAGGCTGAACCTAGAAGGCGCTGACAAGTTTTTCACTCCAAAGGCAGCTCACAACACGTGCCACACATACTGATGGCACTTGGGTCTTTTTCCCTCCCCCAGGGGACCAACCACGGTCAGTTTCTGGAAACTACCAGAGGTGAAAGAAAGTGATTAATTTTGTAAAGGATGGGAGAACTTCAAATTCGGGGGAAGTGAACTGCCTGAGAAGAGAAAAAAAACGCCAGACCCACTAGGACTCGAACCTGGGACCATGCTTGTCATGAGCAATGCTCTAACCACTGAGCTATGGGACCAGGCTGAACCTAGAAGGCGCTGACAAGTTTTTCACTCCAAAGGCAGCTCACAACACGTGCCACACATACTGATGGCACTTGGGTCTTTTTCCCTCCCCCAGGGGACCAACCACGGTCAGTTTCTGGAAACTACCAGAGGTGAAAGAAAGTGATTAAATTTGGAAAGGATGGGAGAACTTCAAATTCAAAGGATCAGTCGGGGAAGTGAACTGCCTGAGAAAAAAACGCCAGACCCACCAGGACTCGAACCTGGGACCCTGCTTGTCATGAGCAATGCTCTAACCAGGAAGTAGTACAATACCGGTATTGTACTACTCCCTGGCTCTAACCACTGAGCTATGGGACCAGGCTGAACCTAGAAGGCGCTGACAAGTTTTTCACTCCAAAGGCAGCTCACAACACGTGCCACACATACTGATGGCACTTGGGTCTTTTTCCCTCCCCCAGGGGACCAACCACGGTCAGTTTCTGGAAACTACCAGAGGTGAACGAAAGTGATCAAATTTGGAAAGGATGGGAGAACTTCAAATGTGGCACGTGTTGTGAGCTGCCTTTGGAGTGAAAAACTTATCAGCGCCTTCTAGGTTCAGCCTGGTCCCATAGCTCAGTGGTTAGAGCATTGCTCATGACAAGCAGGGTCCCAGGTTCGAGTCCTGGTGGGTCTGGCGTTTTTTCTCTTTTCAGGCAGTTCACTTCCCCGACTGATCCTTTGAATTTGAAGTTCTCCCATCCTTTCCAAATAATAATAATAATAATAATAATTTTTTAAAAGAGGTCGGAGGCGGATAATACTTTAAAACGAAGGTAAGTTATGGGTCGCAAATATCCACGCAAACACACATCCAGTCATAATAAGGCACTTGTCATAAGTATCCGAACGTTTTCGGTCCCTTCTCATCAAGGATTATACAGGGAATGGCTCAAGCTGGAAAGACTAAAACTTATATAGCGTAAAGATAATTAGATAACAACACTCGTGACAAGGTGGAAAATATTGTCACGTGGTAGATGTGCGTTACATTCGGCTGTGTTAGAAGCTTTGTATATCCGTAAGTTAGATCCTGAACTTTGCGTACAGAAAGAAAATGTGTTGTCGCTACAATTGTTTGGTGTTACTCCTCGTCGAGGTGGTAACAATGTAACTTAATTTGCTCACTATGTTGTTGTCACTATTATTATCTTCCTTCGAGTTTTGTGTCGTGCTAAACTTGATAATTTTCCACCTTGTCACGAGTGTTGTTATCTAATTATCTTTACGCTATAATATTATAAGTTTTAGTCTTTCCAGCTTGAGCCATTCCCTGTATAATCCTTGATGAGAAGGGACCGAAAACGTTCGGATACTTATGACAAGTGCCTTATTATGACTGGATGTGTGTTTGCGTGGATATTTGCGACCCATAACTTACCTTCGTTTTAAAATAATAATAATAATAATAATATATTAACTGGTTTGAGGGAAAGAGACAAACGGGAAAAGTCTGAAGAAAAAATTGACTGTCACCACCAGGACTCGAACCAGGGACCCTCGCTTGTAGCCAGCGATGCTAATAATAATAAGGAAGAAATACATGTGTACTTCCACGTGGACATCGTAGCAAGAGTCCATATATGGCTGTAACCTCACTCTTGATCTTGGTAGCATCAAGAGTCCATGGGGGGTTATGGACTCTTGGTAGCATGTAGATGCAGATGGTGGTTGCAGACAAGTACGAGACTCACACTGCAACCAATTATTTGTTTTCTTCAAGTTGTGCCATCACGTGATCAAGAGTACATCCCTGTACGTGTAGACTCGTACCCGCTGGAGTGAATTTTTGATTTTTCGATCTTCATTCCACATCTGACAATTACAACAGGATGCTGAGGGATCTACAATCCAATTTTGATCCTGGGATGCGACCAAGCGATCACTGACGTAGGAGGAGCTCGAATTATCCTGTTCAACTACTGGTACTCGAGAAACCTCTAGAAGAAGAAGTAGTCGAAGCAGCACGTGTATGGGTACTCCGACACAGCTAGTTTAGTACCATAGTAGCGGTAGTAGAATGCTGCCACCGAGAGTAAACAAGCCCCTTAATACTCTTGCTGTCACTTCATTGTCATGCCAGCCTCAACATTATCCCAGTGCAGAATCTACTACAACAACACTAGTGAAAATGAGCTTCCCAAGCTTCCCAAGCTTCCCATAGCTTCCCAAAATCCCATAGGATCTACCGTATTTGCAGGTTTTCTCGTAGTAAAGTTCTACGGGAGATGCATCCAAAAAAAGGTAGTTTCCGCGGGGAAGACTCCAAGGTCCACCTCTCCATGACCCACCTCTACCTCTCGATGAGTTTGTGGGAGTTTCGAGGACACTTTCTTTTTCTGAAGAGGCCAATAGTCCACCTCTTAATCTTCAGAAAACGAAACTACAAACAGGTACTAGAAAAGTCGAAGAGCGACGGTTCGAGCCAAGCCCAACGCCAAGGAGTTGTACTACCCCCTTGTTCAAACCAGGGAGTAGTACTACTCCCTGGTTCAAACACACTCATATTTACCGTATATGGAATTGCTTGTAGTACAGCAGTTCCATGCTATGATGCCCATATGTATACTTGTAGATCTACTACCGCGTACCGGTACGCGGTAGTACCCAAACCTTGGGTACGACCAGGAAGTACTACTCCCTGGGTACGACCGTCGACCCCATATTCATCCTGACCATGGACCAGGGCGCGCCTGCAGGGGGACGGGTCTACGAGTACAGTTTTCAAAGCGAAAAGGAGTTTATTCGCCCCCCGAGCCGCGGGCCGCGGGATATGCTAACAACTTACTTTCACCTCGTACACACACATGTATGCGGTATGACTACGATGTTCACTCCACGTCAAGGTTTTGAAAGACGTTCAGAGATTGGTCTGGATGTGATTTAGCAAGGAAGGTGCTGTTATTTTCGAGCCGAACTACTTCCTTCTATGGTTTGTAGCAGTGCATTGTGCCAGGTTTTCCTTGCGACAAGTTTGACACGAAACTGTGGCGCAGTTTGAAAGGCTTCCGCCCGTGTGTCGCACGTGGACTAAATGACTGCATTTCTGGAAGTGGCGAGATAAATTTGTTTTTCACATTGCTAAGGCCAGCAGTAGTCGTGACAGCGGAGAGTATCTGGAGGCTGCTAGTGTAACGTATTTTCCCCTCGTCCCGGCACTCAATTTGTTGTGGGCAAGCTGTGTTTGGAGTTCTCTCTCTCTCCCTCTCTCTGAATGTGTCGGCTGAGTCAGCCCCCGGTGTAGCTGCATCTGGTAAGTGGAGATTTGCTGCGTGTGTTCTGGTTATCACTGACTGAGTGCTGCCATGCAGGCGGTGGACGGCATACATCCAGCACGGTGACGTGTCATGCTTTATTTGGCTTTCCAGTCCAAACCTGGAATGCCATGCACTTGAACAGTAGGTATGACTGTCGTGCATTTCTTTGGAACCATTCTCAAAATCAGAACATCAAGAAAAAAAACTCAAGCACATCCCTGAGTATAATCATGTAACCAATCCTACATAACCCGCAAGAGTGTGTCCTTTCCGCATTCGATGCTATCACGGCAGAATTTCAAGGTGACGTCATCTTTATGGCGCAATGGACCTCGCACGAGTGACTCCCGGCGTTTGTGCTGGGCGTCGAGTCTGTCGACACATCAAACGTGTTTTCTTACACCAGTGTGTACGCGGTCAAATTGGGATTTGCCCGCCACTGGTCAAGAGTACGTGCGACAACACATCTAACTTAGGACTGCCAGAGTGTGCATGAAACCCAGAATGTGCTGCTCTGATGGGTTGCTGTCACGGCGAACGAAATTCCGGGATTGCATCATTTTAGTGATAGAGTGCGTACAGGCGGTATTGAAGCAGGTCTCTTTCTGCACGGCTGCAGCTCGGTTGTACGCACTACGCCACGTCGCGCCTCATAATGCAGAAAAAGTCAGATGCTGCACATTCTGAGTTTTACTGATGTACTCCTGCTTTAGGCATAGCATCCTTAAAACAACGTCAAGTTGAAATTCTGCCGAGACAGCTCTGGTAGTGCTAAGTGGGTTGCACACTCCTGGGGGTTACGTACACTTGGCGCAACGAGTTGGAAGATCCGCAGAACTTGTCAGAAAAACACGAAACTGGTGCGTAGGTGCTGCAGCTAAGTACCGATACCTATCCACGCTAAGTAAAACCAGTCTGAACTTGTAAATTCTTATCTGTTGGATCTATCATCAATAATACAATAATAATGGAATAACATTTCGCAAAATGCGAAGACTTCACTGTAGCCATCCACCATATCCATAGATCTTCACAACACTCTCCAAACGGTCTCTGGGCTACACCAATCACTAAAAAAATTTCACCCTTCGCGTCAGACTCGGTTTCTCTATGTAGAGGCCGAGTTTTCCGCATCCGTAGGAACGCCACCACCCTTCAAGGATCAAGGCGCAGATGCAGCTCCTAAAGCGGTGGGTCACTAAAAGAAAAAGAGATATTCAAATTAAGATGGGCCTTGCCTGAAAATTCGAATATAGTGATTGGTGTAGCCCAGAGACCGTTTGGAGAGTGTCGTGAAGATGTATGGGTATAGTGGAATAAAGGTTGGAAAATGGAAAGATGATACATGTAACAGAGAATACCGTAATGGGGGATCCAGGGTGCAAGCGGAGCGGGTGCTCAGAGAGGATTCCTAGTGCATTTGTGGCTCAGTGCCAGTCTCGGCTGCGGAGAGACTTATCGATGCCTTCCTCGAACGCCTGCATTCCCTTCTGCGTGGGAAGGTTGCGTAGCAGGGCAGATGGAAGACGATTCCAGTCTTGGATCGTGGCGCGTGGGAACGATGGGATAGCACTATTACGGGCTCTGGCGGGCAGTGTTAGTATGTAACACTCAAACACGGAGCAAAGTATCGGATTGTCGCCACCGCATTCCGTGTTTCTGATTATTAACCCATTATGTACTGAAAAATTGTACACAGACTGAATTTGATCTCGACTCACCTCAAATTCTATAATTATCCGGGTCATAACTTTAGCCTCCTTTTGACGATTTTTTCAATCTTGGGCTTCCTGGAAAGCTCGTCGCAAGAGGAACACATTGAGCCCACGCTTGCCACCACGAAGGTCAAAACGCAAGCGCTACAGCCCAGCGTCTTAGCTGCAACGCCAATATTCCGACAGAAGTCGTCTTGCATCAACCATTTCGCTCTCCTTGCTCGTAACAACTAACTGTTACTTCAAACAAATTTCACAAACTGTCATCAGTCCGTTTACCATTTTGAACGTGTTTCTACGTCACTGCATGCCCAGAATGATGGGGATATCCCTCATTCAAATTTGCGCGAGCGGCTATTGAGCGACATTTGCCGCGATTCGACTTTAGAGCTACGTAACTCTGGAACGACACATCGGAGCGCTTCAGCGATTGTTTCAATGGACAGCTGGGAGTTTTCTCTTTGACCTACATATTCTAGTTTTCGGATATAACCCAGGAATGACTGAGTTACGATCGATTGAAATTTTGAAAGGTTTCGATCCCAGGGGATCGAAAGTTGTACAGGGTTAATACACATACATTTATACAAATGCCGTCAATCCCCGCTGCGCACCTATATGTAGTCAATGCAGTGCCACTGTGGAGTGCGTGGGTGATGTCATGTGTGCTTGACAACATATCCCGTTTGGGGGGCCAGGTGTTGGTGATACATAGCTGCTTCATGGCGCTGCTTGTTTCACCAATTCCATCGATTCCACAGGCCCCTGACCATGGGTTAGCACTCTCTGAGTGAGACCAACTCGTGTCCCATTCCATGGGTTAGCACTCTCTGAGTGAGACCAACTCGTGTCCCATTCCATGGGTTAGCACTTAGCATAACTTAGCACTCTCTGAATGAGACCAACTCGTGCTTTGAAGTCTCCAGGAATGAGCAGTATCATAGTTGTGCTCGGTGAATCTGACCCAAAGTGCATAGCTGGCGCCCTCAACTTTCACGGCCCTTGACGTCCTGGACCACTTACCATTACATCACTGTACTTGTAGGTGTGCACGTCCAGCCGCCGCATTCGTTGCCACTTCCATGGCCAGGTCAAGTTTTGCGCTTCGGGTCGGAGTTCAGTGAGCTCAACTGTAGATTCTATCAGTTGTAGCCTGGGTGGTAGTGGGTGCATGTTTGCTAAACATTTCCAAATATCTAAAATAATGACGAGCTGTGAACTTGTTCTTGACGTTACTCCCGTGTTCTTGTTGTCAGTGCTGCTGCTGCTGCTGCTCGAATTGCTGACTCTCAATTTTGATGTTATTGCTGCTGCTGCTGTTGTTGCGCTGTTGCTGCTGATGTTCCTGCTGCTGCTGCTGATGATGATGATGATGATCTTGTCTTTGCTCCACAGGCGTTCTTTGACGGCTGCTCGTTCTCGTGAGAGGCAAGGCAGACCGTGCTACCGCCGTCACGGATAGCACCAACTACTGTAACTCCTTCTAGAACAGCCCAGGTGTCCACTCGCACACGTCTGCAGTCGGCTCCCGTGGGTTCTGATTATTCACTCCCATGGACGTCTTCTTCACCCCTCAGTAGGTGATGAAAGCTGTAACTATGGAAACGGGAAATCTTAGCACAGACTGAGAGGCGGCTTAGTGACATGCTGTCATGCTCTGGCTGTATGGATGCTGCACTGACGTCTTGCTAGGGCGCCGCAAGAAGGTATGTGGACGTCCGTGTGTATATCTGTGTGTGTGTGTGTGTCCATGTGTGTGTGTGTGTGCGTGCGCGTGTGCGTGTGTGTGTCTGTGTGTGTGTGTGTGTGTGCGTCTGTGTGTGTGTCCGTGTGTGTGTATGTTGGTACATGGTGTGTTCGTGTGTGTGTGTGTGTGTCCGTGTGTGTCCAGGTGTGTGTGTGTGTCCGTGTGTGTCCATGTGTGTGTGTGTGTGTCCGTGTGTGTGTGTGTGTGTCCGTGTCCGTGTGTGTCCATATGTGTGTGTCCGTGTGTGTGTGTGTGCATGCGTGCGCATGTGTATGTTTTATGGTTTTCTCCACTTGCTCAGCAATGCAGATACACACAAACAAACCCAGATATCCCTCTTCTATTGTCCTCAAGTTATTGTTCATGTTCCTCTCTTGTCTCTACTTCACCTGAAGAGAAGGCACAAAAGTTTACTTGAAAGTTTAGCCATGGTTGGCTATAAAAAAAACCCTGCAATCGCCACGCAAAGTGGTCATTGGCTACCCCAGCCATGTATTGCTTGGAATAAAATAGATAAATAAAATAAGAAACTGTTCAAATTGTTGTTGTCGAAGAACCTGAGCTGCGTGTGCTCTTTCTTAGTGTTCATGACAAGTAGCCGGAGAGTCAATGCACGGGTGTAGGCAAGGTCATGTGTTGGGGACTGACAAAAGGGGGGGGGGGGGGGTTATATCATATGTGTGTGTGCGTCCGTGTTTATGCGTTTTGTGCACTGACTCACGTCTGCATCTGTACTGTGCTGTGTGTTTGCAGCTGTGCACATTTTCATGATGTATCGGTGGCGGTGGCGTTTGCCTCCCGCAACCCTCCTTGCCAGTCATCTTCTGCTTGCCATCGCTTCCACCATTCTACTAACCATGCAGTCGGTGTGGGGTAAGTCACTAACGTAAAAGTCCGTAAATAAGTACCTGTCCGAAAGAAATACCCCCTTCATTAGTTTTGGCTCTGTTGAAGTCAAGTCAAGCCCGATAAACACACTGCCCGAAATAAGTACCGGTACAATGCGCACATGCAGCACGTAGCATGTGCATCGACATGAAAATGACTTCTCCACTACACACAAGTCAGGTCCGAAAGTTAGTTCGTGCCCGAAAATCAGTACCCGCCCGAAAGTTAGTACGGGTGTGGTCACTAAATTCGAAAGTAAATACGTACTTATTTACGGACTTTTACGGTACCCTACATTGTGTTTTAAAAATATAGACGCGTGATTTCAGAAAACCATTATTAGGCCAGCATCTATACCACATAAAATCTGTGATCTCTGGGTGCATACATTTTTTCGACATTTGGCGTTTCTTACCGTAATGTCGCGTACTAGAGCCAGGCTTATTCCTGTAGTAGCCGATGTCAGGGCCAGGCTTCTATTCACATCAGGCTTCTATTCAAACCCGGTATTTCTGTGTATGTCAACACTAAAACCAGGCTTACGTGCCGGCAGTAGATCTTGAGAATCAGTCTTCTACTCAAAACAGTCTTGTATTCAAGACAGGCTTCTATACGAGACACCACGGTATCTGATTGCTTAAAAATCTATAATCGGGGGAAGAACCTGAGCAAAATTCCGAAAACAATTCTCAAAAAGTTACCACCAAAGTAGAAATATTTCAAAAATACCGCGCGTCTATTTTTTTGAAATGGACTGTAGTAACATGACATGGCACACAGGACCACTGGAAGAAATTTGTAATCGGTCAGGGGATGGCACACAGGACCACTGGAAGAAATTTGTAATCGGTCAGGTCATACCATAGTCTTTCCATACCGTATTTCCGGAGTGTAAGGCTGCATTCGATTGTAGAAACTGGATCCCGATCCCCGCCGATCAGATCACTTCGATCGGACGGATACAATCGAATGTGCACAATCGATAATCCGCTTCAAGGCCTTAGCAACCGCGTTGCTACAGCTCATCCCGTAGTATCTGTATGCATTGTGGTGAACTCTTGACCTAGTGTACGCATATTGGGAGTTTTGAGTAGATATGAGTCGTACGATGGAAATGAATCCGTCGAATCCGTCTCTGGGAGGTGGGTTGGCTGGATCCGAATCCGTGCTCTCGGGATCCGGATTCGTACAATCGAACATGTACAAATTTGGCGAATCCGGGTCCGGGTCCGGGGCTCACGGATTCGTACAATCGAACATGCCCTACAGTCCATTCATCGGAAACTGGCCCGCTGGCTTTTGAAAGTCGGATTTGGGCCGAATTGAGGATCAAAAACCCACTTTAAATCTCAAAAATCTGGGTTTTGGATCTGCTTCTCCATACATTTTGCCATGGCATACCTGTCCTAATTTTGTAAAACCTGGCTGAATTTCTATTTCCCTGTTCTTGGACTTTTCTGGCCTCAAATGTGGCAAGGAGTAATTGCACGGGTCACACAATGCAGGATGTACTGTTGTTTTCGCGATATCTACAACTATGTGAGAGAGACACCAAAAAGCTAGGGTGCCAGTTTCCAATGAACGGACTGTAAGCCGCTCTTTGAACACTCAAAATTCACTCCCAAAAAAAGAGGTGTCTGGCTTATACTCCGATGATCAAATTAACAGTGATAAGTAGTGTAGGGGGTTTTGTGTGTTGCTCCCTACGTGGGAGCTTGTGCTATTCCTGCCGACTTGAATTCTCACTTGACCGACTCGCGACTGCCATCCAGAGCACGCGAGAAGTCCACCGAACCTTCCACTCGGCAAACCTGCAAGAGAGCACCACTCCCTGCTCAATACACAGTGTTTGAGGGAATTCACCCCTCATCAGTTGAGCTTGAGTAGGCTGAGGAAGACTGTGCCCAAAGAGCACCACTTATATAGTGCTCTCCAGGCACAAATATCACCAGGGTATCACCAGGGTATGCTTCCCCTTCAAACATAAACACACGCTGGTGTCCTAAAACGTCGGTGCGGCGATGACCTGGTGTACAACAATGAACACGAATGTACGAATGACGCACTTGAACCAATTTCGTAGGACAAACGCCTTATAAGTTAACGACGAGGAAATCTTCATACTTCATAAGCTAGTTACCCATACAAATGCCCGCCTGTTATTGAAGCTGTAGAGAGCTTATGGTTGATATTAATATGGTGGTAAAGACACACCTGGCAATATGGCGGTAAACACACGCCTACCCACACACGCTCTCTAGGCTGCAAAGTTCTGGCACAGAGCTCTCCTTCTCACCACCACCACCATCAGTTCGCGCCTGGCGCCTGGTCGATGCATGGCTGGCGGTGTCCGGCATAGCAGGCTGGTACATCAAGTGTAAAGAGCTTTTTTATTTTATTTTTTATTTTTACTTGATGCAGGATTTATGTTGTACGAGTCATCTCGTAGGATATCCACAATATATAACTCGGATACTGAGCCAGTAAGAAATATAAAATAGAAGAAAAACACATGGGAACTAGTTATGAAGCAACTATCCACAGGTCGCGACTGTAGCAAGATCATAAGCAAGTAGAAAGTGCGATAACAGGGCACACAACTGACAGGCTATTGAGACATTCAACGATCTGAGATCTAGCTCTAACACATCTCCAGTGCGCAAGCCAACAGCCTTCCAACTTGGAAGGTTCGCGGTTAGGTAAGACCGAAGAGGGGAAGGTGAGCGCAGCGAAAATGTGCACAAGCTAAGTCTCACGGCAACAAAGAATGCCGAATGTTATTGGATGATGACTATTGATGGCGAGACCTGTAAATAACATGACAATGCCGTCTAACTACAAAAAGGTGTGCCCTGTTATCGCACTTTCTGACTGCTTATTATTTGTTACAGGCGTGGATAGTTGCTTCAGAACTCGTTTCCATGTGTTTTTCTTCTATTTTATATAAATACACAGTACTTCAGCGTTCTAGTCATTTGGTCTTCTCTGTTCTTGTGCACTCACTCATATGTAGGTGGATTTTCTTCATGCTATTCTGACATACTGTAAAGTGGCAAACTTTTGCGGCGCGCAAATTTAGCGTTTTCATAAATTGAGCTGGTTCACGATGAGAAACTTTTGCGATTCTATCTCTTCAGTCGGATCTTGTACTGTCTACAATCAATGTACGGAGAGGTTTGCGGCGATTTGTATTCGCGAATGTGTGATGGTCGCGAAAATAGCGAAATTTAATCTCTAGCGAAAGTTTCTCACTTAACAGTACTGTGAACCATGTAATTTTAGGTGTACTAAAATTTCGGTGTCAGGGACCTGACGGGTTTCAGGTGTAGCTTAGAATTAGGTGACCTTCACATACAGTACACACTCTTGTGCCATTTACTGTAAAAGCAGAAATTTTCGGTGGTGTAATATTTTCGGTATTCTCCAAAATCGGCGGTTCGGCGGAGGGAAATTTTCGGTAAACCCGCGTTCCAGGTAAGTGTACTAGTACTATACCGACATTTTCGGTGCGTTTTATTTTCGGTAAAAATTTCGGCACCGAAACACCACCGAAAATTTCTGCTTTTACAGTAGGTGTAATCTAAATTCAGGTGCCTGGTATTTCTACTGAAATCACCGAAATTAAAGTTACACCGAAAATAACCTTACAGTACCGCTGATTTCTCTCCTCTCTCCGCATGCATAGGTCTTCCGAAGTGCACCGCGATGGGATTGCCCTGCTCCTTGAACGCCGACTGCGTTCTTCTCCTCCCGACGACGCAAACCAATGACTCCACTACACCCGCCAAGGCCTGTCGTTGTCGAAGTGGTTTCCACGGTAACGGAACACACTGCGAAAACATCGACGAGTGTGTTGTCACCCGCTGCCATAGCAACGCAACGTGCATAGACACCAGCGGATCGTACGAGTGCCGCTGTGCGTCTGGTTTCCATGGAAGCGGGCTGCACTGTGAGGACGTCGACGAGTGCGTTGTCGTGACAACGGGTATCACCGATGGCGACGTCGGCGATGACGGTATAAACCGTAGTGATACCGATGCTGCTGGTGGCTCTGAAAGCATATGCCCCGTCGGGTCTGTTTGCATCAACAAGATCGGTAGTTATCGGTGCAAGTGCAAGACGGGATATGAGTTAGTCAGCAACGGCACTGCCTGTGACGTCTCCTCGCCAAGTGAGTCTTCTACGTAGGGTGCGTGTGTGTGTGTGGGGGGGGGGGGGGGGCATGAGTGCATGTACATGTGTGTGTGTGGGGGGGGGGGGGCATGAGTGCATGTACATGTGTGTGGGGGGGGGGGGGGCATGAGTGCATGTACATGAGTGCGAATGTGTGTTAGCGTGGGTGTATGTGCTGGTACACTTGTACGTGTATGCGCATGCATACTGGGAAAGCGTGATGGTTGGGGCTTCGAATGTCTCCCTTCACTTCTAGTTCAAGAATTCAGGCTTGGTTTCGTTGATTGAATCGTGTCTATGCCATTCCATGTGCGAAGTCGTTGCATCCTCCTTTTGGGGCCCGAGGTCACAATTTGAAGCATAACCGCCGCGTTTAGGTCATTTGTATTACGCTGCCGTGCAACACGGGCGCTTGAGGCGCATGCTTGGGTCGTATTGTCCCTGCCGAAAACCCAGCTGGGAAGCGACATGGCGTGGGGGGGGGGGGGGGGGATCAACGGTACTTTACGGTAATAGAGCTTTCTCCCAGGACTGATTCTGTGCAGTGGGAAAAACAAATTTGTGTGTGATTTGTTTTGCGGCCGGTGTATATGTGTGTGTGTGCGTGCGTGTGCATGTGTGTGTGTGTGCTTGTGTGTGCTTGTGTGTGTGTGTGTGTCCATGTGCATGTGTGTGTGTCTCTCTCTTTCTCCTTTCATTGTTGCTCTCTCGAGCAGACGGTAACGCGGGCGGCAGTGACGGCAAACTGGAACTGTGGCACCACGTTCTGGTTGCTAGCCTGTGTGGCGTGCTGTCGTTTGTGTTTGTCATCTGTGCGTGTGCCGTCATCAAGCAAGTCATGCTGTACACGGGCAGTCGAAAACCAGCGCCGAACGCGGTGCCACAGGAAGCTGACTGGTACGTGGTGAATACTGTTAACTTCGCTTATAACGATGAATTCGCGAATAACGACAGAATTTCCATGCCCAGAGCAAAGTCCCGCGCATCTAACTGTAATACAGTGGAGATTGGATATTAGACCGACACTCCTCCTCCAGGAGAGAACAAAATGTCACTGTATTCGATCTGTCACTAAACCCGATCTTCGCAAAGGACTTACTAAACGACTTGGGCAACTTATTGTGTCAATAACCTGGATTTGTCGTTATATGCAAGGTTGTTATATGCAAGGTTGTTATATGCAAGGTTGTTATATGCAAGGTTGTTATATGCAAGGTTGTTATATGCAAGGTCGTTATATGCAAGGTTGTTATATGCAAGGTTGTTTTATGCAAGGTTGTTTTATGCAAGGTTGTTTTATGCAAGGTTGTTTTATGCAAGGTTGTTTTATGCAAGGTTGTTTTATGCAAGGTTGTTTTATGCAAGGTTGTTTTATGCAAGGTTGTTATATGCAAGGTTGTTATATGCAAGGTTGTTATATGCAAGGTTGTTATATGCAAGGTCGTTATATGCAAGGTCGTTATATGATCCTTCTGACATTAGCAGGGTGTCGGAACCGGTTTGGCAGGTGCAGAGAAAGTCACACCAAGTTTCACCCTGTGGTGTCTCTCTCTCTCTCTCTCTCCCTGCAGTTGTAATGATGCTGAATGGAGCGGTGAAGACGCTGAAGGGATCCGCCACCAGCCGCCACCACCACGGGGCTTTGAGCCTCACTACAATCAAATCCTGGAGGTGGCGATGCCGGCGATGGACTCTGCGGGTGACGCCTGGTCAACGCACACCGAGCTCAAGCCCACCAAGTCCTCAAGCACCGCGGCCAGCGGTAGGACAGTGCTTTCTAGCCGCTGGTCATCGCGCGGCTTCCTGCACCGCAACAGCACGCTGACTAGCGGCCTGAGCATGGTGAATCCGCCACCGATGACGCTCACCAGCAAGCACACGCTGTACGAGTGCGACCCAGACTACTACCTGTCAGGCTGCGGCCCGGACTCGTTTCTTGGCCGCCCTCGTCTCTGCACCCCGTATATGATGCGGCGGCTGGAGAAACCGCTACCGCCGCCCATCGACTCGCTGCCGTACTCTCTGTCCGACAGCGAGTTCGCCAACCCGTTGCGACGTTCCTGGTGGGAGAGCAGCGAATCCTCGGGCTCTTCGTCTTCCAGTGACAGCGACTCTGCAGATAAGTTTAACCTGGGTGATGACATGTCACCTAACAGTGGATCCACCGCTGGGGGTAGCGGCGCTGGCGGCTACAGGAGACTGAAGCGTGTGGTGAAAAGGAAAGTGCCGAGTCCTTGGCACAGCGCCCCGGTCGGGCTCAATCTGGTGCCTTCGGAGTACGAGACCATCGACCGGGGTTCTCTCGGTTATCGTCATAGTACCTACGACCGAAGGGCACCGCTGTCTGAAGGCAGCGCCCTAGAACAGAGGAGGTATACGCGCTCGACCGACTGCAATTTTCTAAGCCCTGGTGGTGTTGTCGGTGGTGACTTCAACGGTGACTTCCAGCACACGTATCACCTCATGCCGCCCTGTATGCCAGCCGAGCGGCGTGCGCTATCCCAGTCGTGCACCGGCTCTGAGTTCAGCCACACCGATGTGGCTGCTCACAACATGGGCAGCTGTCCATCGCTTCGGAGACGTCTCTCAAGACAGTTGGCGTTTCGGCAGCAGCCGCTAAGCAGGGTTGGCGGTGAAGACGCTGGCAGCGCGAACAACGAATACGAACTGTGCGTTCACACGCCAAGGCCACGTCTTCCCAGCACGCCTAATCTTCTCTACCACGCGCACCGGAGAAGCGTCAGGGACTCTGCCGTGTTCCATTTTAGCAGCACGAGTAGCGAAGGCGAACCCGATTGTGTGCGCTCTCGTTCACAGCAAGACTGCGCCGACGCATCACTTGGCGGCAGTCGCGACGGCCGTATGATGTCCTTGCCGAGCGCCGAGCCAAGGACGTCACGACGTCGCAAGGCCGTGTGCTCACAGCAAGACGCAGCGTGTGCAGCCAACGCCATCGCCACCATCGGTAATGGGTATAAGACAGTGATGTCATCATCATCGCAGCAGCAGCAGCGTGTGCAGCGTCCCATACCGGACTTTACCAGTCCCGGTAGCTCTCTCACCTCCAGACACATTGCAAACACTGGTGTCGACCCGGCAATGTCCGCCGAAGACAAAAGCATAGAGATCATCGACTCTCCTTCCAAGGTGCCTATCGAAGTGGTGTTCTCCGACGACTGCTCCACTGTGTCCAGCCGTGCGCGGCTCAATAGCCGGTCGTCCGGGCAACTGGACACGGACGAGAACGCGAACTCCAGCGGCTCCGACGATGCATTCATGCCAAGCAACTGCGGCGGTGGTGTGGGCAGCGAGGGAGGCGCTGGTGGTGGAGGAGGAGGAAAGCGTCTGAGTGCGGCTTACGCCGTGCAAGGTCAGACGTCCAGGCGGCAGCGTAAGGTCCGGCAAATGCCAAACTCCTCGCACTATGTCAACGTCTCTCAGGAGGAGGAGCAGTCAGGCACGTCCTCCGACATCGTCGCGCTAGATACAGACGACGTAACAAGCGACGCTCTCTTTGACAGCTGCGGTGACATAGAGCGATCGTGGTACGGTAGCAGCCAGTGCAGCTCTGTTAACCTGTCCTCGGCGTCCACCCTACCTTCGATGGAGGAAATCCCTCAGGAGTGTGCTCTGCCCAGCAGGCGAACAAGCAGCGTTTTCAGACTGGTGGGCCAGGTGCGCCGGTCCTCCAGCGCGCACAGTAGCTCCGTGTGTCTCTCGCAAACCTCCTCGAATACGCACAGCAGCTCAGTACGCCACTCACAGTCAACCATGGTGTTGGCCGAAGCTGATTTGTCGGAGCTGCTGGGACAGGAGCGACAATCCCTGTGTCTTGTTGACGACTTCTTGAAGACCTCCATTTCGTTTGCAGTGCTGCCGTCCAAAAGTGAAGTTGTGGCTACGAATCCCACTGTGACGTCCCTGTGTGCTTCGGGCGGTGGCCACGACGGAATGTTCCTGGAGACGGCACGGAACTCGACGAGCGGCCCGCCTACACCGACCGAGCAGAGTGTGTGTGAAGACCGCACGCCACAGCAGAGTGTGTCTGGCAGTACGTGTTTCAACACGGGGGCGGTCGCCCACCATTACACCGACGCCAGCCTACCTATCTTCAGACCGGCATTTCATTCATTACAGCAGCAGCAGCAGAACGTACGGGGAGTGCTGTTGCGAAACAGTAGCCCTGCGGTAGCGGATCTGACACATCTACGCCGGACACTATCCAGCCCTACCAGTTCTCCTTCCAGCCAAGCCAGCCACTGCCCGCTCAATGGGCCAACGTCCAGTACAGCCACTCTACGCGCTACCGATGGCGCGCCTGATCTCTGCAGCCCTGAGCTGTCCGAGACGGCGACTTGTACAGCGCCAACCCAAGCCACCCTGGGCTTGCCGGCAGCGAGAGATCAGCTGGCGTTAACACCGCTGTTGTCTTTGCAGCCTACTAGCACAGCGCAGTATCACAGCAATCTGCTGGATCAATCTCTCGTTGACAGTGGCGACGGTGCCTCTACCACTGCTAGCATTAGTAGCCGCTCACAAGACGCTGGCAACAGCAGCGCACTGCTCTCCCTGGACGATGCAGCAGCACAACACCACGATGGTGCAGAGCCGAAAATGTTGCTCCAGCGTCGCAAGAACATGTCTATGAAGCTGCTTCAGCGCCGCTGCGGCAGTCTGAAGAAGAAAGTCGAGCGCAGTCTAACGTCACCGGGAGTGTCAGCCGACTCTCAGCTCCACTGTATACTTGACGACGCTCGGCACGAGACGCCGGAGGAGGAGACAGCAATGGCTGCTGCCACGGCGTCAGACAGACCGTCGACAACACCTACCCCGACGACAAGAACAACAACCAGTACACCGGCCACTACGGCAGCGCACTCCGCCTCCGGCAGGTCACTGAGTCAGTCGTCGTCGCGCGGGTCACGTCTGAAGAAGAAGTTCCGACGTAGCTTGCGAACCTCGTTTGTACGCGGTAGCTCCTACTCGTGGCGTGTGGGCGTGTCACCGAGTGGCAGCTTCGCCATGCTGCACGCGCGGGAGAACACGAGTGTGTTTGACGAGGCGTGTCACGGCACCAGACCTGGCTTCAAGGTGCCCAGACGATCTCACTCGCTGGCCGATGGGTATGCTACCGAAGCGTTTGTGACACACCACACACGCCGCTACGACCTGCAGCAGGGACAGAAACCACTCGACTTTCATCTAGCACAGCTGAAACGATAGCAACAGCAGCAGCAGCAGCAACAGTAACAACATACAACAACAACAACAACAACAACTACAACAACAACAACAACAACAACAACAGCAGCAGCAGCAGCAACAGTAACAACAACATACATTCAACAGCACCGGCAACAGCACCCGCTATTTCACACTCCGGTATATCACAAATGCACTGTTGTCAGCTGTTGATATACCCTGCTAGTACACATCCTGTGGATCGCTGACCACATGACAGTAACCCAACTTCAGTAGTGTTCCAGTTGTTCTCTATGGAGCGCATCAAACACAAGAGCGTTTGCCGCTGCTGATGCTGATGCATGTGCAGCCAGACTCTGTTGAACTTGACAAGCACGGCTTTGATTTCTCTTGCTGTGCTTCGCTTTCCTGCGCAAGGCCGCAGATGCGTTAACATTCTCTCCCCTCCCTCCCCCACCCCACTCTCTCTCTCTCTTTCTCTCTCTCTCTCTCTCTCTCTCTCTCTCTCTCTCTCTCTCCAATTCCACGGCAGCTCTTGGATGGAAAATAGCTTCCTATCCTAAAAGACGTTGACACTGCCTACACTTGTGCATCCACTCTGTTAGTTTTTTTTTAAACCCGTACTCCCGCTGGCCGCTCTTGCGTCTCTCCCCCCGCACTGCCGGCATCACTGGGCTAGCGTGTCCGAGGTGGAGCATTCTTGCACGGCTCGAGCTCAGAGTCATCAACAGCAATTATGTACGTGCTGGCACCTACGCTAATCCACTGCCTTGGAGATTCAAGCTGAACTGCTGAGCTAGCTCGAGTGTCCCACCGTATCAATTATCATTCTTGTGTAAAGGCTATTGTTGTTTTGCGTAACTTGCTTATGTGTTTTTTTTTAAAGAGAAGACTTTTCCCCGGCTGGCATCCCGGAGCGTACGGTTGCCGTGCGCGTGTGTTTTTGTGATTCATGACTGGCTCATTCTCCCCCCCCCCCCCCCCCTCCTCTCTCCTATCCACCACCATTCGGCTAGCTACACTCCACAGCGGTGCTGCTGTGTTTTTTTTCTTATGATTCGTGACTGGCTCATCCCCCCCCCCCCCCCTCCCCATTCCCCCTCTTCTCTTACCCCCTCCAGTAGTATAGGGGGAGGGGGTTCTGGCTCACCTTCCAGGTGAGCCAAAATCGACTTTCTCGATCGGCCCTTCGGGCCTCCCCCAAAGTCTCCCCCTCCCCCTATACTACTATACTAAAGGATAGACACCCAAGTACTAATTTTACACCTCCAAGTACTAATTTTACACATCCAAGTACTAATTTTACAACTCCAACCACTGATCCCATGTTGGCTCAACCCAGTTCCAGAAAAGTGAGTCAACTTGCTGTCTCCGAGAAATTCGGAAGTGAGCCAACTTCAGCTTTTTCACTTACCCCATCTTGGCTCACTTCGAGGACTGATGTGGGATCGGTTTCTGAGCCAACTTCGGGTGGTTCAGCTTTGGATGAGGATTCCTAATTATTCTATATTAGAGGAACGGTTGCCATAGGTATAACCAACGATTCTACACAAACTTTCCAAGATGACAAGCAAGAAGCCAACCCCGTTTGACACAGCTGCTATTCTCACTGACTCCATTGATTATCGAATCATCATCAAGGATGGGAATAAATGTGGTTCACTGACAATCAATGGTAAGGAACCATACATAAAATTCACTGATGAGACAAATATCATGAATGTTGTGAAGAAAGGACAAGAGGATTCTCTGAAATTTTCTTCTGACAGTGACATTTGTAAATCCATCCGTTGTATCGAGAAGCAGATAGAATCCGAAGGAAATGTGGTTAGAAGCAGAATTAACACAGCAAAGTGTGACCACCCAATACTGTTTCTCCAAATTTCTCCTGATTGTGCTATCTTTGATGAGGACAACAAACCATCAAAAACCAACAAGATCAAGCAAGGTGACACCGTCAATGGTATCGTTCACCTGAAGTGGGTTTACAAAGACAAGACCGATGACACTCTCAGTCTCAAACTTGTTGTTGTTGCTATAAAGCATTTCCAGAAAGAAGAAGTGAAATTCTCACCAAACGATTTGTAAAAATAGTCAAACAAACCACAAAAACGAAAAGCAAAAAATATTTTTTTTAGAAGTGAAATCATGGATGCCTGGTTTGATGACGACTACTCCACAAACAAAGAAGAAGACGTGATGGATACATGGATAGATGATGAACACTCTACCAGGAAAGATAAGATGATAGCGGACTACATTGACTATAGAAACCAGGAATGGTTTCCTACAGATATAGAATTGATGATTTTGGAAAATGAAGTAACTCCAGAGGATCTTGAGGTGTATGAGATGAAGAAAAATGATCTGTTTGATACCACATCTTTCTTCGAAGAAATAGAAAAATCCAAAACCAGAACAGGAATCGAAACAAGGTTGGAGATAACCCTGAACAAGGTTGGTTTACCAAAATATCTTAGCAAAACTGTGACCTCATTCAACAATCTTGTTGATAAAATTCAGAGGATCAAGGAAGTAGCAAATAAAGAGAAAAAAGTCAAAGTGAGTTATCCATTCCTACTTTCGAAACTCATTGATGATGAAGATGATGTGATCAAGATCAAACCATTCATTCCAAAGTGTACAACGTCACAACAAAGACTTGATGCTATATGGGAGGATTATAGAAAATCGAATGTGTAAGAAAAAGTAAAAAAAATGTCTTTCTTTCTTTTTCCTTTTTTTCTTTCTCATGATCACTGGACGAACTGCTTCATCATATCCGGAGCATAACTCATGAATGAAATGCTGCTATCAAACCCCTCCTCAGCCAGATATCTTGGTATTTCATGGTGACCGAACGCTAACGTGCTACATCCATCTTCTGTGATGTATCGTTTTGTGTCCAATGGTGATAAGCCTTAAGGCTATCTTATTAACCGTTTCTCCGAAAATAACGTGTCTATGACTCCGGAGTGTTGTCATTTCTCGATGGAACACGGATTGATCCAAGAGACAATTTCGGAAATCATCATGTGTGATAGTTTTCTTGAGCACTGCTGTTTTCACCCCCTTTGCTCTTTTTCCGCTTTCCTCACCAGAGTAACTGTACATCTTGGAACGAAGTCCTACAAACTCAGTGATCAGTTTCCCACCGAGTTCATCTTTGAACAGGCCAACAACTTTCTTGTTTTTCTCGGAATATAACGGATGTGATTGATCATAATTGCTTGTTTCTTACATGACACGTGATCGTTGCCGGGGCCATGGCCAATAGGCGATCTTCCCGCCGCGGGCATAATCAGGCCATCAGGACCGTTTGACGTCATTTCGGGAATAATTTTTCGACCTTTCGACCTTTCCACCTTTGACCTTCCCTAATATGTTGCTTCGCGCTGTAAGAAATCAAATCAAGCACGCTCATGTCTGTCATGATGGCTGAATCTTGCCCTTGCCTGCAGCCCTCGGGCCTACGGCCCTTGGGCTGCAGGCTCGGGCAAGATTCAGCCATCATGACCTCCTGAGCGTGCTTGATTACATACATCATACTTCTCAAGAAACTCACTCATGTCATGAAACAGATCATCAGTAAAGAAATGAAGAACCAAGCTGTCTGTATCGGTGTACAAGAGTCTCACATCAGAGTCATACAACTTTTTCAGGTGATTGTAGTAAAAGTCATACATGAGTGTCTTTGAGAGATCCAAAATCGACATCCCAACATATATGGGCTTGTTGAGGACGACGTTTGTCCTGTTACTTTGTACCCCGACCAGGTCATCGTTGAAGATCACATGGCGGTTGTACGTTGGTTTGGCAACAAGCTGTTTGATTTTTTTCTCCTCACGACTTCTCAACAATTTTATGTTGACTCTCCTCCGAACGTTCTCCATAGTTTTCCCAAACACCGCATTGTTCATCAGTTTATAGAAGTCCTTAGAGAAATCATCCTTTGCCTTCTTCCGGAGGTCTGTATTCTTCTCGATGTAGTTTCTCATCCACGGTGTCTGAGTAAATTTCAGAGCACGATGAATTTTGACACAACGTAGTCCGAGCTGAGTGTAGAGTTTCAAGTTTCGGTAATGGAGAACGTACTTTGTCTTGTCCCTCAAGTTTGGTACAAGTTTGAGAGCATCTACTCCGGAAGAATTGAGTTTATCAACAAGCTCCTGCTGGTATGGAGATAGCATGTCCTCATTGACGGAAAGACGTTCCGGAGCAACTGGATAATCGTTGTGCTCTTCATGAAGTTCGTGTGGATATTCCAGATCACACTCGACGATATACCCCGATGAGGAATCATCTTGAGTGTTCAGTATCTTGTTCAGGAGTTTCTCTGATGGTTTCTCCCACCGAAAATCAGACACTGGGAGATGCTGTGACATTGCCCAACCATAGAGATTGTTAGCATCGAGATACTGGATAAATGACGATGGCTGATCAGCATCAAATTTCTCCTGATAGTGATTATTAGCAGCAGCATATCGTTGTGAGACCATCGACACACCGCCTCTCATTCCTGATTCTACAAACAAGTGCTGATCATAGTCTGTTAGTAATTCCAAGGACACACCTGAGTACATCAACAGAGCATCCCAGGCAAATCCAGGCAGAGTGTAGTAATTTGCTGGATCCAGCTGATACGTTCTGGCAGCTTCTACTCTGAAATTCTCAAAGATGTCAGCCAAGAGAAACACGTCGGTCTTGAGATACAAGTCGTGATAATCACCAAGAGTCTGACAGTCGAATTTCATCCACATTGTCTCAGCATGTTTGTAGTCATCGTCACTCACCCCCTCATCAGACAGTGAAGAGTAGAACTTACTCTGTGCTGGTAGCTGAGTCTCATCGAACCTGGAGAAGCTGTTCATGTACTCATAGGGGTATACTCCTTTCCTCATCAACAGCTGATGGTTTGACAACGTCTTGGTGAAAGTGAATGACTCATCTGGTGTCGTTTTCACCAGTCTATCAAGTGAGGCATTGAGAAACTGGCAGCTGTCGATGAACCGGAACTGTCTCCATGTGAATGAGATGAATTTCTCCATGTTGTTGGGAATGACTGATATCTCACCCACAGTTTTACTCTTACACACACCATCCTTATTCGTGTATGTGACGGTCTCAACATCTGTCTTTCCGATTGCTCCGATGAGATGATGACTGTCATAGCCTTTCAGGTTGTGAAAAACCACAGGGATGTGCTGCTTGTATGGATAAATTCTCAGTTTGATGTTACAGTCGTTGTGTGTGGCACCGCGGAAATCACCAGTGATGTGGTCGTGATCACGGACTCTGTCATCACCCAGTTTCTTTTTATAAATCCAACAGTCTTCTGTCTCTCTGAACAATTCTTCTTGTTCCTTAGTGAGATCCATCGGTGCTGGATTATTGAGTGCTGATTGGATTTTCTTCTCCTCAGCTTTGAGTTTATCAAAGAATACATCCATGGCATCAGCACCCCGGTAGAAACACTGACTTGTCATCACTCCGTCAGAACGCACCACGACATAACCAAAACCACAAGGAACATGCTGTGAATCCCGGCTGGTTTGTTGGCTTTTCACTCCATCAATTTTCTTGATCAGTGCCTCAGTGTCAGCATAGATTACATAGGGGCATTGTAGCATTTTGTGATGATTAATGAACTTCAGTGTTGGTTGATTTCCATCGTCATCCGGTTCTGGTAGTACCATGTGTGCTGATAATCCAGTGACATTATCACAATACTCCTGATGATTGCTCAGGGATTTCTCTGTGTTGTGTGGTTGGAGACATCTTGTACAGAAGAATTTCCTGGCTTTATGCTTTGACTGATCGTAGCACAATCTGCTGAAATCTTTGATCCAACAGTAGTGATTCTGATCTTCTTTTTGGTATAGTAGAAGATTGATCACTTTCTCACCTCTTTTCTTTGTCAGCAGTAGTGGATAGATCACGTTATCCTCATACCCAAAGACATTGATCGCTAGGCTGTTTTGCTTCTCGACTTTGGAAATTGGACTCAGTGGTGTTGGAAAATCGATTCCGAACAGATCAAGTTTATTGCTATAGTCTGTATACTGAGTT